ATGCTGGATGAAAGATTCCACAAAATCTTGAATGATCTTGCATCACTTAACCACGTTCTTTCTCCCAAAGAAAAGAATGTAAGGTTGCTGAGATCTCTTCCAACTGAGTGGTACACCAAAGCCACAGCCATGGAAGAAGGAAGAAATCTGGAGAACTACACTGTCCAAGGTCTTCTTGATGAGCTCAGAACCTATGAGCACGAGCTGAAGAAGAAGAAGGAAGAACAAGTCACTCCCTTCCCCACGGCACTGATGACAACTCCAAGAGTCCCATGAAGTGAAGGGACATGCCCAAGGAACTGTGACACACCCTCCTCCAGTCAGCCGTCAAGTTCAAAAATGGAGAACTACGATGAGGAATTTGCCATGATGGTCAAGAAATTCCGGAAGTTCAAAAAGTTCTTCAAGAAAGCTGACTAAGTCAGAAGGCCATCCAGGGGAAAGCCACAGGTAAGTGACTCTCCTCCTGAATCTTATTTGTGTTACAATTGCAGGAAGCCTGGCCACTGGAAGTCAGCGTGCCCGTACCCAAAAGTGGAGAAGTACGGAGAAAGAGAAAGGAACGAGAAGAAAAAGAAGGCAATGGTTGCTGCTGAAAGTGACGAGTCATCCAGCTCAAGCTCGGATGAAGAAGCTCTCGTTTGCATGGAGCGCAACGTTGAAAAGTCCAACCATGAGGATAGGTGGACTATGTCAGAAGATGACACTCTCTGCCTAATGGCCAAAGATGATGCTGATCAAGAGGTAACCTCACAAACCTCCTGCTCATCTTCTTATAGCACACCAACTTCTGAAAATCTTTTTTAACCAGTTCAAAAAGATGATGAAAGACTTTGAGGAGATAAATCTCAAACATTCTTCCTTAACAGAGGAGAACAAACTATTGAGTGAAGAGAATCTCAAGTTGACTGAAGGTCGGAAAAGTCAACTGAATGAGATCACTCAACTCAAGACTGAAAATGAATCTCTCTCTGAAAAGGTGAAATCCCTTAACAAAGAGCTAGGGATACTCAAGTCCCAAGAAGCAGTGAACAAGCTGCTTGAAACGACCAAACATAAGGGTCGCAAAGCACTTGGGTTTGACCCCTCTAGTTCTAAAAGGAAAGGGAAGACAACTTTCATCCCTCCTAAACCTACTGCTAAACCAAATAAGCAGAAAGGGAAGGAAAAGGAAAAACCAACAGAAGTTCCCAAAAAGGTAGTCCCTCCTAAGAACTATAGGAAGCTGGACAAACCTCAAAAAGGAAATAATTTCAGAAGAAAACCTTCTAACCCCCATTATACACGAGGCTATACCCATTATGGGGTAGACAGGAGTTTTCCAAGAAATTCCGAGTGGAGAACTATGCCAAGATATAGTCACCCTCCACCCCAGAAGCTATTTGTGCCACCTAAGTATGCTAATAACCGACACAGGACACACTATGCACAACCTAGACAAAATTATAGGTCTTATCAACCTAGGTTTGCTAGGAGGAAACAGGAAATAACACCTCCTGCACGTAGGAAGTTTTATGCCTACAACTATGATTACAATCCCAACAAGTTTAGAGCTGCAAGGAAGATTCCCTGCAACTTCAAACTTGATGTAGGGACACACAC